CCTCGGAGCGCCGGCTGGCTATACGGCCGTCCACACCCCACACCGTCACGCTGCAGCCGTCTTCCTTCCGCAACCTGCGGCTCCCCAAGAGGCTGCGTGTCATCTACTTCCTGGCCCGCACCCGCCTGGCGCAGCGCCTCATCATGGTACCTGCCCACCCTCCTGGGATGCCAGCTCCCACTGTCCGGTGCTGCACGCTTTGCCCGAGGGCCCTGGTGGCCTTTCCCAGCCTGGCTTTGGGAAGTTGCCCCTTGCACCCTTGCACCCAGCCCTGGGGCTTTCTGAGGAGATAAGCCTGTCTGGGAGAGGCAGTCAAGGGGCCCTCTCCCCACAGTGCCCAGGACAGGAGCCTGCAGAGACGGGGTTCCTGGGGTACGACCACTTTGTGGCCACCACGTCTCCCAGAATGTGGCAGCTGCCGCATGGCTGTGTGCAGGTGCCAGCGTCTAGGCAGAGTGGATAGCGCAGGGCTGGCAGGGCTGGCAGGGCTGGCCGGGCAGCAGTGCCTCTGCCAGGGAGTGAGAACGAGAGGGCGGTGAGGCCCAGGCCCCCGGGCCTAGCCCCTGGGGAACCTGGCAGCAGGCCTCTGGCTGTGCTGGCTGTGGGGGTGGGAGCAGCCTTCTGGCAGCAGCTGAGTACGAGTTGGGGCGGGAAGCCCTGTGTCAAGGCTCAGGGTGCTCCACTGTTCCAGGAGTCACAGCCCTGACCCTGGGGAGGGTCCAGGCCCCTGCAGTGGCAGGTACAGCAGGTGGTCTTGGGAGGCCGGCAGAGAGGGCAGGGTAGGCCATGCCCTGTGAGGTCCGGGCTGCCTGTTCCTCTCAGGCCCCACTGAGCTCCTGACACCCCGCTGCAGGCTGGCACCGTTGTCTGGATCGGCATCCTGGTGTACACAGACCCAGCAGGGCTGCGTACCTACCTCGCTGCCCAGGTGACAGAGCAGAGCCCGCTGGGCGAGGGTGCCCTGGCGCCCATGCCGGTACCGGGTGGTGTACTGCCCGCCAGCCACTCGGACCCCGCCTTCATCTTCCCACCTGATGCCCCCAAGTTGCCTGAGAACCAGACGTTGCCAGGCGAGCTACCTGGGCCAGGGGGTCCGGCAGAGAGTGTCTATGACAGCCCCGTCCCAGAGGTCACCTGGGGGCCCGAGGATGAGGAGCTGTGGAGGAAGCTGTCCTTCCGCCACTGGCCAACCCTCTTCAGCTACTACAATATCACCCTGGCCAAGCGGTGAGCTGGGCTCAGGTGGGAGGCGATGGGGCTGCCGGTGCATTTATTTAGGCGCGTGAGGGTGAGGCAGGGGCTGGTGCTCTTGCAGCCCTGGAGTCCCCATGCGCCAGCCCGGGGCTGGCTGGCTGGCTGGCTGCTCCCACTCTGTGGCTGCAGGGGTGAGGAGGGAGCCCACAGCGCTGAGGCTGCTTGGGGACTGGCGGAGGGGAGGACTAACCCGCGAGGGTGGTGGTTGCAGCTGCCAGGTTGAGCAGCCTTGGGGAGGGCGTGGAGGGGCGCCGCTGAGACCCACTGCCCGTGCAGGTACATCAGCCTGCTGCCCGTCATCCCGGTCACGCTCCGCCTGAACCCCAGGGAGGCGCTGGAGGGGCGGCACCCTCAGGACGGCCACAGTGCCTGGCCGCCGG